TTATCAATGTGTTTCACAAACATACGCAACTTCTTCTAGGGACTACTTACAGCTAATTTTCATAGTTATTCATAGGACCTGCAGTCTCTTCATCACAGTTTTTTGAGCCCTGGTTTCTGATCCCCATCTGCCTGACTTCCCATTCTATCTATTCCTTGTCCTAGATCCTATCCTGTGACACTGTGCTTCCTAATCTTCAACAAAATCCCAGGCTAAACTTTAGTTTTGTTCTTGAAATAGCTCCTGCATAGATTCTGAGCAAATTTCTGGCCTTTTGTCTCACTTGTCTGGACCACTGTGTTCTTCAGATTCCTATCCATTGACCACCGTTGTCCTCATTCACTTCTTTTGAGCCCTGCCTGAGCCTGACCCCCTTACTGACACCCCTTAGTAACCAGGGACCTGGTTAAAGGGGATGGCTGACTTAGCAGTGTCATTAACTGTTTGATAACCAGCAGACCTGAACCATGTGCCACATAGGTCAGCCAGGGAAAATACCACTTTTTTTAGCTCCTGAAGATTGTTAGATGAAATTGTTTTCCTGGTGTTGACAAACGTTTTGAGCACTCCCTCTTCAACCAGAAGGTTTGGTCCTCTTTTCTCCTGGACAGAGACTGAGCTGAGCAGAACCTGTGAAGCTGATGGCCCAGCAGACTGGAGTTTAGCTTAAATTTACACCCAAGACTGTTCAAAAACAGTAGTGAAGATTTTGGTTGTATGTATAATAGCAAATAAAACAGGCAAAGCTATTTTCCAGCTACAAGGCCAATCGTCACAGCATAATAAGGTCCAGATGGATAAGTGCTCCTTGTCCCCCAGCCTTACGGATGGATGTGTCCAGTTCTCAGCACTGAACAACTCACAGCCCAGATAGCAGGATACCCAAAGGCAAGCCTGAAGGTAATCTCCCACTCTGAGAAAGCTTCATATTTGACAATGTGTTAGTACCTCCCAAAATTCTAGGCTTTACAGAGAGACTTTGAATTCTGTAGCAAGGGTCAACTGCTGCGCCTCAGCCCATCACTACTTTCTCTATTTCTTTTTGCCGCTCTGTTCACTAGGACACCGATGAGTGTAGATGTCAGAAATTCACAGACCATACTGTCAGAAAGATGATAATGTCCACAGAGCATTCATTTATGTGGTGTGAAATGTGTTAGGAGGCCAAGGTGGAGAATTTTTATTGCAGAAATGGCTTGATTCTTGGCAGTGTTTATATTTTATATCAGATTAAACCTAGGAAGACATTTACTGACTAGTACTAAACCAAGTCCTGCAGTGAACTGACATATGTGTTACCAATCACATCTTTCATACATTAAGTAGTGGAGCTTTTTCTCTATTTGTAGGATGCTGACAGGCGGTAACAAAAAAATGAAGAGCTGTACTGAAAGGAAGTTGAAAGGGAAAGTTAGGATTAAAATTATTTCAGTACTCACAGAGTCTATTTTAAAAGTACATTTTTTGGTGCTAAATGTTGATAGATATCTCAAAACAACAACAAAATTAAAAAAAAAAAAAAAAAAAAGAAAAAAAAGAAAAAAGAAAAACCACAAAGCTTTAAAAGAACCCCTAAGACCCAGAATTGTTAAACACCAAAATAAAGTTTATTAGAAGTAAAATATGAGAATGATGTTCAGAAAGGAAATGTAGAAAAGACACACATTTAGGCTAGCCAATGCTAAAATTAATATAAATATATTTAAAACCATTCTGAAGAACAATTTCCTAAAGCTCTAAAGCTATTAATAAAAACTGCTCCGAACACACCCAAAGAAAGTAGTTTGCCAGAGGACTGGCTTGGCTAACAGATGATCTACATGTGATAGCTGAGCGCTCAAGAAATATTATCTCATGATAGCAAAGTCAAATAAATGCTTAGGATGCATCCCACACTGCAGCTTTCCTTACTGGGAGCACGTCCGAAGAGATATCTCAAATTGAAGCGTCAGTAGAAAAGATTTTCAAACAAACTGATAAAGTGAATAAGACAAATCTACAGGACCAGATGGTATTCACCCAAGAGCTCTATTGGAATCCAAAGAGGAAATTGCTGAATTTCCACAGTGCAGAGCCAACCTGCTGTTTAAATCAGCCTATGTCAAAAGAATGGAAGCAGTAAACATGATGCATAATGAAATAGCAGTTTCCAGAGATGGCTCACTGAAGAAACAGAGACAAGTGTGATTCTGTATAAGATGAAGTGATAAATGTTCTAAAAAAAGATGAGTGGACACGACAGGGAGTAAGGTTTAATGGATAAGAGTCAAGTATTACATCCATAGCTTTAAGTTATGTATCACCAGTCAAGTCATCTGAGGGTGTCATGGAGTTGTGGGGGTAGTGGTCTGTGTAATATGGTCTACTTGGATTTCCAAATGCTGGAACCTATTAAGCTATTCCTGAACAAGGAAGAAAGTCTCAACAAACGGTTAAAAGTAGGAAACCAAACAAGGAATAAATGACCACATACCTAACAAAGGCAGACAGTCTGTAGGACTGGATGAGGTTTCATGCTGCTAGGACCTCTGGTGTTCAACACATATACGTATTGTAGACAAACTATAAGAACTGAAAAAGCAAGGTAGCAAGGTGACCTTTTTTTCTGATGGTACCGAAACATCTTAAATATTTCAAACTAAAACAGTGAAGAAAAAAAAAATCATAAGGACTTAGAATGAAAAAATCAGGAGGACTTAGAATGCTAAGTGATTCTGCAATAAAATGGAACTCAAAATTCGGAGTAATATAGGTAATGAGGATAAAAAAAAAAAAAAAAAAAAAACAATAATCCTAAAGATCCATGCACAATAATGAGCATTGCGTGAGCTACTACTGTTGGAAATAAGATACTGGAGTTACTGTTCATGGTTTTGTTAAAATGAGAACTTACTGCTCTACAGGGATCAAAAAGACAAAGAGAAAATTAAAAACTAGTAGGAAAAGCGTTCAGAAAATATAAAAAACTTTTGAACATATCTCCACTGCACCAATCTCATATAGCATATAGCAGAATGAGAACACTTACAGTAAAGGGCAACAAGGCACCAGAGACAGGGAGGAGTTTCCAGAAAGGAAGAGCCAAAATAGGCTAAAACTGTTCATTTTGGGAAAAAAAGAAGACAGAGGTGATCTGAATGATGTCTGTGAAGTCACGAGTTGCATGGAGAAGATGAAAAAAAATAATTACATACCATTTCTCAAAATATTGAGGGCCAGAGATTAACTAATGAAACAATTAGGCAGTGAGTTTAAAACAAAAAAGAAAGGAGTTTTTATGTCCCAAGTGAGTTATGGAACTCATTGTCATGAATAGAAAAAAATTACAGTAGGGTTAAAATACTAAAGTGGATTACTCCAGCAGGGCTACCAAAACCACAGACCAAACTCAACCTTTAGGTCTCATTTGCAGACTGCCAGGAGCTGGGTTGGTATACCAAAGGTAGGACCACTCCGCAGTCAACCTGCTTCTTTTTTATTATTATTTTTACTGTTAATTATTTATTTTGACTTTCCCACAGTCATTCTGTTTTATTACTCTGACCCTGCATGACTCTGGACTCCCATGTCCTTAACTACTGACATGCCTCTAAAGTAATATATCCCAATGTGGAGTCCCAACTGAACCAGAAACAAGCTTCTACAAAGAAAAATACCAAGTTACACTATTGATATATTCTTATTAATTAATTCAGGCCTTCTGATGAATGACAACAGCAGAAAACACTCAACTTTACCATGCAATAAGACCTCCTTCATGAAGGTGAGCTTCTCTAGGAATCCTCTACTACCTCAAACCCAAGACTTCTGCATGATTATGGTGACTGCCCACTGGAGATGTGGGTACTTAGATCCTGTAAATTAAGTTCTTAGTGGTACTACTCTTCCCTTTTCACCAGTAAAAGCTCTTTTACACCCAAAGCATATGACTAGAGAGTTTGTGATAAATGTGCCTCTAATGGCACTCTCTTTACTGTAACCACTAAGAGGCATTGAGGATTCTCAGGACCTTGAAAACCAAAAAAAGCACTGGCCCTCAGTAATGTAGTACTTCTGCTGGGGCTGGGCTGACAGCTTCAGGCTGAGGTTTTTAATCTTCAATAAAATTGTTCTTTATAAAACCAAGCCTCTCAGTCTATAGTGGAGTGCATCCAAGCCAATATGTGTGACTGCCAGGCACCCAGCAGCTCCCACCAAGATGTACATTGATGTTCCAGAAAGTCAGATACCTAACCGGGATTCAAAGGTAATAAGGCCAGGGGGAGTCCTGAAAGCTGTTCAGTCCAGCTTTCCACACAGAAAATAAAATAAAATAAAATAAAATAAAATAAAATAAAATAAAATAAAATAAAATAAAATAAAATAAAATAAAATAAAATAAAATAAAATAAAATAAAATAAAATAAAATAAAATAAAATAAAATAAAATCATATAGTAAATCCTTCATCAAATGCAAAGCTTAACCTATAGCTTACATTTTTAAAACCTCTCCAGTTTATATGTATGCACTCATTACACTTCAAGCAGTGTGGACTCAGTTATCCCTTTAGGTAATATATGGCAAATATTGTTATGTTCAGCACAACTACATAGCTCCTATCACAAGGCTCATCTCTTCTGCCTCTGGATTGCACTTCCTTCTGATAGACTAGAAAGCCACCGGGCAGCAGTGATGTCCTCTTCATGAAGATGTGAGTAGGATAACAAGCATCTCACCCACAACCATCTCACCCCTTGCTGCCAGACAGTGACAAAACATGTTTTCCAGACCTTGGATCACTCTTACAGCCCCTTTTTAAATCTTTGGAGGAGAGGAGAGGAGAGGAGAGGAGAGGAGAGGAGAGGAGAGGAGAGGAGAGGAGAGGAGAGGAGAGGAGAGGAGAGGAGAGGAGAGGAGAGGAGAGGAGAGGAGAGGAGAGGAGAGGAGAGGAGAGGAGAGGAGAGGAGAGGAGAGGAGAGGAGAGGAGAGGAGAGGAGAGGAGAGGAGAGGAGAGGAGAGGAGAGGAGAGGAGAGGAGAGGAGAGGAGAAAGATTAAATTTCATCATTTAGTCTAAGAGAATAAAATAAAGCTGCTGACTGCCATAAGCACTTTTCCCTCTGAGTGCATATTGACTGTGTTATGTAAAAAACAAGCATTTAAAAAGAAATACAAAGTTAAGCCAATGACAGATGTGACTCCAGTGCACATTGGGTGTGAATAGTTCTCATTTGTTACCTCATTTCACTATTGTTCCTCAGTTTCATATTATCCAAGAAGACTGTCCTATAATCCTGCCCATGCACATTTGCCAAGTCTCCAAATAGCTTTAAAAAAACCCCACTGATGAGAGACCACCAACTTTACGATTTCTTGCAGCTCCCACTGTACGTTTTATGGGTATTTAGCAATGCTTTCCTAATGCTGGAGAAATTTCTCTTCTCTTCATTAGTAATAGATGTGTTTCATCAGCCTTCTCTCACTTTCTCTCTCCTCTCCTGCCCATATTCTCAAATTGCTGACTTTTAAGATGTATTTTTCATAGAACTGTAAAAATAGTATATTTTTTTCCTTATTTTTTTTTTCGGATTAGGGACTGGACAAACTTTTAGCCTGCCAAGCCTTTTTTTATTTCTTTTTTTTTTCTGTTGTTGTTGTTTAAATACTTCATAATAAAAGAATGTGCTCCTGATGGAATTTTTATTGCAAAAAAAAAAAAAGTACTCCCATTCTCCCTTTTTTGTATCGTACACACTTCAAAACACAAACTGAAATTCTATAACCTCCAAGACAGAGGGCTGCTCAAATGCTGCCAACCTAGTAAAGATAATGTCACAGTACGTGGCACAGATGCAAAAGTGAGAGGAAGAAGATTAATGCTGCATCTCCATCTTGCCTGGGTGACTCAACTTTACATTGATATACTCCATGTGCCAATTGCGATCAGACTTCTGTTTTTGCTCTTCTACGGCATTTTAAAACAATTCCTCTTGCCTAAGGAGGTTGCTGGAAAACGTACATGGGAGCACACATTCCTTTTTAACAAGTGCAGAGCCCTAGTTTTTCACAGCAGCTGGAAGCGTGTTCCGGTTTTCAGAGAGCAGAGAGCTGTCACCAGCCACATCACCTTTCAGAAATATTTAAGATGCTTTCCTGGGGACGGTAGCCCACCGCTAGTTCTCCTTCAGCCTTGACTTTGGGGCCATTTCCCCAGCACCCTCCCACAGCAGGTCTGTCCACGTTGCCTATCCTGGGAGCTGAAGACAAGTCCTTCAAACACCCTAAACTGCTAAATCTTGACGTTTAGTCACTGGATTGTTTCTGTTTCCTTTTTTCTATTTATCATTAAAAATACATATATTATGTGAAGACACATTCTAGAGTTTCACAGTCGTGTCTTTCAATGGTATCAGTTTTAGCAGAGGTGTTTCACCCACTGGCAGGAGGCAGAGATCAGTTCAGGACATGGCACTGCAGTGTCACGGCGAGCTCAATCCCTTACTGGATCCGCACTGGATTTAATCCATGACTTTGAGTAACTCGGTGCCAGATGATGCCGGGATGAGAGGTTAACACATTTCCAGCAATAGTCTGCTCAGATTTTTACCCAGGCCTTGTATGCCCTTCACAAGGGACTGGCAAAGGGTTTGTTTCCTTATTTATTTACCCTTAAGGCAGAGGTAGCAAAGCTGCGTGGCACCACAGGACTGCTAGGACTGACGCTGAGCAGCCAGAAGAAAGGGAAAGTCAGAGGTTTCTCTGCTTCTCACAGCCACAGTCCTGTTCCTCCGCGCTTCTCTCCCACAGGCAGGCGATTCCCTCCATCTGTTTTTTACCTCATGTCATCATTTTGGCACGCAAGTGCCGCGCAGCAGAATGAGCTGCTACATCCGTATGGCACGGAGCAGCCAGCGCCGCGCCCAGGTTTATTTTGTCCCCAAAGCCGTGTCACCCTGGTGGCGTGGCACCAGGCCGTGCTCCTCGGAGCCACAATACCCACACAGCACAGCCCCACTGCTGTGATTTCCACCAGCAAAGTGGGCTCTGCGAGCTCAGGAATTGCTGCCCATCTCCATTACACGTGGCAGGCGTGCCAAAGGGCTCTGGAGACAGAGCCCTTTGGCAGAGTTTCATGGAAAGCCTAACTTTCAGGTAAATACCATAGCCTGGCAGAAGAGGCTGTGCACACCCTTTCATCCTAAATCTTTCTCCATTTGGTGCAGCTTTGAGCAAGCTTCAGTTTCAGCCACACTTTGGTTTCGGCCACCCTAAGGTGAGCAGCAGCAAGGCCGTCGGATGCTGACCTGTAAAAGTTAAAGGAAGCAAGGTTCAAAGTTAAAGGAAGTTAAAGGCAGCTTGCACTGCTTTGAGTAGCAGCGTGCAGGCAGGTTCTTGCCCCTGGTGTGTGCTGGTGTGCACGGCTGGCAGCTGGCACTGCCACATCCTCTGTGAACGGGGCCAGCCGCAGCCCTGTGTGCCACCCCACAGGACAAGGACCACCACGTCCTGGTCCATAAACCATGGAGCTCTGATTCAGCCCAGTCCTCTTGTGCTATCCATAACCACGAGGATACTAAAATGAGAGGAGAGGAAGGTCTGACACATGGCTATGTGACCAGGGAGGCACAGGTTTAGGTTTCTTCTTGGAAGCGCTCTGTAATGCAGCCACCGCCAACGGAGCCGCTATATAACCAGCACCCAGAAAGAACCCATGCCTAAAGGTCATCAGGAAAAACAAACGGTGCAAATTCCTTTGTTTGGAATGGGCTTCACCTATTTACATCCCAAATGGATTTGATCCACAGAGTCAAGCTAGAACAGCAGGGGATTTTAGGGAGGCAGGATTTAATAGCTGAGACTGAAATTTGGCCAAGGTCTTGGGTTTAATCCTTCTTGTGATAAGAGCCTCAGAATGTTTAACGTAAGCTTCCACTGAAAGCTGGACCTCTTGAACAATGCAGGTAGAGCCTGCTGGCAGGGTTGGTGCCACTGCCACCCAGCAGGACATTTGGGAGAAACCAGGTCAATTATGAATCCCTATTGTTGGCTCCCATCTTGGAGAGTGAGAGAAGGTCAGAGGAGAAAGATGGAGAAAATGGTCATCGGGGCTTTAGTAGCTGAGGGTCAGGCACTTCTGAGTTCAGCTGACTCACCTAAGTCCTTCTACAACAGAAAACCAAACTCCGGAGGTGCCTTGGGCAGAGGATTTCGTGGAGGAGGTGGTGTGGCCATCACAGAACCAGGACCTGGTGTACCTTCTCTGGTGTCTCCCCTTGTTATGCCAGCTCCAAGGCAGCCTGGCCATGGAAGCACAAAGCAGAGGACCTGAGCCACCAGGCAGAGCTCGTGTTGCTTCATGGACCTCAGCTGGGGCACAAGAAGCTCCCCCTGCTCCCCCCACGCGTGTGCCATGGAGGAGGGCTAGGAACCAACATCCCTTTTCCAGCAGGGAACATCTCACAGCTTACAGCCCATTGATTCTCAATATGGCACAATCTCTAGGGGCTCCAAGTGACTGGAAAACAGAAGCCATGTGCCCAGATAGTGCAGAGACCCCTAAAAATGCCAGAGGACCTCCTGAGGTCCCTTCCTACTCACATTTTCCTACACCCCTGTGGCACACAGCTCATCCCCAGCTCTGCCACTGCTCTGTCGGTGACCCCAGGCAAGCCCCTGCTCTCTCCATCCCTCTCCCACCCCATCCCTGCCACCCCGGGGCTGCTTCCCCCCTCCAGGAGACTTAGGGGGGGCTGGAGCCAGCAGCATTTCCCCCCCTCGTCGCGGCTGCCCTGTTCTTCCTGCGGGAGAGTAATTCTCCCAGGAGGATCTGGAGTCGGTAGCAGAGCGGTAACCGAAGGAGGGAGGCTTTTGGGGGAGGCACGAAGGGCAAAGGGGCGAAGGGAGAGGACCGGGAGGGCGCTGGAGCCTCCCCCGCTCCCCATCCCGCCGCGCACGGCTGGGAAGGCGGCGTGAAGCCGGGCACCCCCCGGCTCGCAGCTCGGGATTTCGGTGAGGGGAACGAGCCTTAGGAAGGGAAAAGAGTGTGTGTGTGTGTAGGGGGGGGGTGTCGGCAAGCAAAGCAAATCCCCGATTTCCCCGGGGAGGGATAGGGGTGAGGAAAAAATTTAAATAAATAAACCGCAGAGCGCGCACGGTGTGGGTCGCGGCGAGGCTCCGGGGGGCAGGATTTCTCTTCCATCGCCTGGAAGGGCGAGATTAAAGAAGAAAGTGGGAGTGGGGTGGGAGGGAAGGGAAGGGAAGAGGGGGGGGGATGAACAAAGGAGATTGGCAGCACAGCTGTTTTGGGAAGAGAAAAAAAAAAAAAAAAAAAAAAAAAAAAAAAGCCAGCCTTCCTGTTTCTTTAAAGCCGCTCATCTGCGCCGCGGCGGCGGCGGCGGGCCGGCTGCCGGCGCTGCGAGCGGACAGACAGCCAGGCAGGCAGACGGACAGACGGACAGAGCCGGGGCTCCCCTGCCCGCCGAGCCCGAGGGGGGAGCAGATGGGAGGCTGGAGGCACGGGGAGCCAGCGGCCCCGGGAGCGGAGCGGTGAGGCTCAACCTTGCGGCTCCCCCCCCCGCCCCCCGACCCCGACCTCCCCGAGCCGCCGCCGCCGTGCGCCATGCGGAGCACCCCGCTGAGCGAAGGCGAGCCCTGGCCTCGCCTCTGCCCCTCGGAGCTGGGCTCCCTGAAGCGGCTGAGGCGCAAGCAGCCCAGCTGCAAAAGTTTCCGCGTCCAGCTTCAAGTGCTGAGCGGCAGGAGGCCGGGGCTCCGAGCCCCCCCGACTCCCCCCGACGCCCCGACGGCCGCTTGGGACCCGCGGGGCGCCGCGCTCCGAGCCGCAGCCTCCGCTCCTCCGCCGCCGCCGCCCCCCGCAGCCTCCGCCGCAGCCTCCCGGCCTCCGCCGCCGCCTCCCGCCGCTGCCTCCCCGCGGCCCCGAGCCTCCGAAGCAGCCGGAGTGTCGCCGGAGATCAAAGCCCTGCAGCAGACCCGGCGGCTGCTGGCCAACGCCCGGGAGAGGACCCGGGTGCACACCATCAGCGCCGCCTTCGAGGCGCTGAGGAAGCAGGTACCTGCCGGCCGGCTTGCCCGCCTGTCTGTCTGTCTGTCTGTCCCCGGCGCTGCTGTCCGTCCTGCCGTCCCCAGCCGCTTGCCAGCCCGCTTCGGGGTGCCGCAACCCCGCGGGGAGGGAGGTGGGGTGCGGGAGGAGAGGCTGGTGTGGGGTGCAGGGGGGGCTGGGGATGCGTGGAAGCCCCAACCTTACTTATATCTATGCTAATATGGATAAATAAGGGGTTTTTATTTTGCTCGTGCTTGGAAACTTCGGGACCTCTTCCCCAGAGGCAGGACGGAACAGAGGGAAATGAAATAAACCCCCCCAAAAAACCCTCTGAGCAAACAGTGAGGGTGAAAGGAGGAGTGTGCCCAAACTGCAGGTCGGGGTGATGCTCCTGCCCTAGGAGCACGTGGACTCACTAGCTCTGCTATTAGGGTGGGTGGGCTGCCCCCACATTGATTTTTGCACAGGGTGGCTCGCCCCTAAGGCCCCGTGGGGTTCCCACAGCCACCCCTGAAGCTTTCAGTGTGACAGCTGAGTTAGGCTGGGCTCCCTTCCAGGCTAGTTTCCCGTGATCTTTACTATAGCGCCTGCTTGAAGTGTGTACAGTGCCGGGCTTTCTCCTCGAGAGGTCTTGAAAAACCCTCGTGGGCTCCCGTGAATGAATAATAGGGGCGTTCTCGCTGGCAGGGTGGAGCTTCCGAAAGGTAAACAGTGTTTTGGACAAAATCCCTCCATCCCCATCACCTCCCTGGCACGTGGAAGGCAATGGGGGATCTGGGGAAGGAAGCAAAGCCGTGCCCCGGCGTTGAGGTTCCTGTGCCTTCCCCGTGGGGATAAATCAGTGCCCGACCCCACTAGGGCCCTATAAACCTCCGTGTGGGCACGCACCCCGCAGCAGCTCGCTGCTGGCCGAGGATCTGCTGTCAGGCTGCAACCCCAGCCGTGCCGGCTGTGCCGCCAGCTGCCAGCAGCACTGATCCAGGTGCTCGGGAAGGAGGAGATGTGCAGGGCTTGGAGGGCTGCAGATGCATCTCGGGGAGATGCTGAGCATCAGATATCCCAGGCTGGTCCAGTGGGGGCAGCTCTGCAGGCGGGGGGCTCACAGACCCCCACGGGCAGGTTTATGGCTACCGTCTTCCAGCTTTGACCCTATTCCCAGAGTCTGCTTGCTTTAGGGCTCAGCCCTGCTTGTTCCCATCTCCTTTTCTCTCCGGGATGCCTCCAGCCCATCCCAGTGACCGCTGGGTGGCTGCACCCTGAGGATTAATCCTGCCCCAGCACCCAGCTCTGCAAGCTTTGCAGCTCCCACCTGGCAGGCAGCGCAGGCTGGGGCCGTGTGTCAGGACGAGCATCTGAATCAGAGCAGTTTTAATCACCACGTGGTGCTGGGATCTGACAGCTTCTGCTGTAATCGCAGCACTCCAGGACGCGCTGGGTGCTGTTACCTCCGGTGCTCAGAGACTGCCCCTTGTAAATGCAGGCTCCAGGCCGGATGGATTTCGTTTTTGTAAGCCGCTTCCCTCTCTCGGTTGTTTGGCGACTGCGTGAAACGCGCTTGGAAGTGTCAGTCTAATTCTCCATGGACAGCCATCTACACCACCAAAACCGCAAGGGGAAGTAGCACTGATTTCCCAAATCACTGGCAATCTTGTTCTAGGCTGAGCCTCAAGCGCAAGTCAGGCAAGCAACAAATTAAAGCCGCGCTCTTTTGGGAAATGGGCAACTCTTGAAAAGCCTCAGATTCCTGGCCTTGGCCCTGTCTCCATAAATCATTTCAGCCCTGGACTCAGCTGGGAGCCCAAAGAGCCCGGAGAACAAGTTGCTGTCCTCTCTTCCCATGAAAGCCGGTCTCCAGGGGTCGGCACCGGAGCACAGTGGCGGGGCTGTGCTCGCCCTGCGGAGAGAAAGCGATCATTCTCCAGGAAACCTCCGCTGCGAAGCTTTCCGAGCGGTTTGCTGAGGGGTGGGCTGGCCGTCCCGGCCGGGAGGGTGACATTTGGATTCATTTCTGGCCGGGCTGCCAGCAGCGGCGTGCTTGGTGCCGTGCGTGACATCAGGTGACAGGCAGCAGCCTCGCACGCCCGCGTGGTGCTGGCTTGGCACTCAAACCATCCGCGCCCACAGCGAGGTTTTGGGGAGCGGGTCGGAGCTGGGGACGTTGCTTTCTGCCACCTCTCAGCCAGCGGGGCTGTGAAGTGAGAGCACAGGGAGGGTCATTTTGGGAGATGGACGCCCAAGGGGGGCTTTTCTTGCTGTCTTTTCACACCCCCAGGCGTACAAAAAGCTTTCAGCCCCGCGCAGGATGAAATCCCCACATGCTGTCAGCCAGCGAGGCTGCACGCAGAGCTCGCTTTGCTTCTCCTTCTTCAATTCTTCCTCCGTCCCTTCCTTGTCAGCACGGATCAGGCTCTTAAGCAGCTGGGAGTCTTTTCCTGAGGCTCTGAAACCGATACGTCCCCACAGAGCTCCGAGGAGCTCAGCGGCTGTGTGCGGCCAGCCCCGTGCCCCTTCCTGGGACAGGGATCGGGGTGCAGGATCCCGCAGCACCCAGCACCCCCAGGGACCTCATCCCCTTCCCCACCCTGCTGCAAAAGGCAAAACCCAAATCAGGATCGGGCCCACTATGGGCAAGCTGCAGGGTGCCTGACCATGCCAGGCGAGGAGGAGGAGGAGGAGGAAGGGGAAGGCATCATCACGGCACGATGCCCTCTCCTCCCGACCCCAAAACGAGCGGCTGGCACGCAGCGTGCCGGGCAGACAGGCGGCAGCGGCGTCCCCGTGTGCTGCAGCTGTGTACATATGGCACACGTGTCTCGGCTCGCCTGGGCTGGCTCCCCAGATGGCAGGAGGCTTCTTGTTGTTGTTGTCCTCGTTTATGGTGGAGGGGGAGCCGACCACAGTCATTTCACACAAGGAGAGGCTGATCCAGCCGTGCTGCTGAGCCCGTAGCTGTCCCTGGCTCGCCTCAGAGGTGGGAAATGAGATGGATGGGTGGCTGCCGGCTCCAGAAGGCAGAGCCTGCTGTTGGGACACATGTGCCATGGCCACTGTCCTCACAGCTTTGTGTCACGGCCACCAGGAACCAGGATCTCTCACCATAAGGGTCACGATGCAGGACCAAAGTGCTCCTGAGATGCAGCCCCTTCTCAGTCCTCGCACTGGTGACCTTCAGATCTCAGCCTGGAGATGGTTTTGCTCCCTGACTCCCCCAGGTGTCATTTCTCAAGGTCTTCTGCTGGTGGAGGATCCAAGGCTGACAACGTGCTTCCCTACGGAAAACACCGCCTCGCTGTGTGCCTGCTCCAAAACACCTCAAAAAGAGTGGAGACACCTCTCCGAGCATCCCTCCTGGGTGCTGCCCCTACTCCTCCGTTCACCTCCTTGTTTATCCATGCAGGCACTGCCCTGCAGGCTCCTGCACCGTGTCCTGGAGGTCTCCCCTCCACCAGAACCCTTCCCCCAGCACCTCGCATGCACCAGGGTCGCGCTCGCGTTTCTCAGCTGTGCCGACAGACCCTAAGGTGGCAGCAAACTCTCCCTCGGTGGATGGAGACACCCGCAGCAGCCTCTCCGATCTGCTCGCTTGCACATCTGGTTCCTCTCCGGAGCACTGCTGTCCAGCTCCTCCTCGAGAAAGAGCCGGGGTCTGCGCCGGGAGCAAATGTGTCCGCAGACATTTATTTTCCCTTGAAGTGCATCGGCGTTTTCCTAAATCTTTTCACCACTGCATTACCAGGGCTCTCTCCGCTTTAGCAGCTGACAGGCTCACTCTCTGCACTCCTGTGGGCTCTGGGGATATTTTTGAGTTTTATGGGGCTTTTTAGCTGCTGGAGCTGAGTTTTTTCCCGAGTAGCATCCTTTCACTTGGAGCTGCTGGCATGCACGTGGCTGCTGCGGCTTGTAGTTAAATCGGGGCAGAAAAGACCCCACTCGCTCCCACCAGGAGCCTGGAGAGACATCAGGAGCAGCAGCCCCAAGGCTATGGGGTGGCGTTGGTGCAAGCCATCTGCAGGGGGCTGCAGGAGCAAGCTGGGCACGAGATGCAGGCAGGACCTGTGGCTTGAGCAGTGCCTTCACCACAAACCTCTGTCTGAGACTGTTTTGGGGATGCATCATCATGTAGTCACCGCTCCCCCCGTGATCCCTCGTGCCTTGCCATCGTTAACCGGGGTGGCTCGGTGACTGGAGCCAGCCCAGAGGGATGCTGCTGTTATTTAGAGCGTGGTCGGGGCAGAGTGGGCAGGCACTGGGGTTTAACAGCCACAACAGATGACAAAATACTGGCCTGGAGCAATGCACGGAGAGAGAAAATAAGGGAGAGCCCAGACAAAAGGACCAAACTCCTGCAAACAATGCCTGCATGTCACCAAGGAGGAGGCCTGTTCGCTCCTTTTGCTGATTTTATCCTCTGATACAAACCCCGTTGCTGTCGGGAGGTATTTGCTCTGCCTGCCGCCGCCACCCCGCGTTAACCTCTGTGTTTTCTTACGGCTCCTGCTGAAATCGGAGGAAGGAGCCTGCTTTCCTCCAGCGGGCTTCGCATCCAGCCCCTGCTCCCGGCCTTCAGCCACTCTCAAATTACTCTCCAGGCTGCAGGCCCGGTGGTGGGGAGGTGGGATGCTACCCTGCAGCACATCCCCCGGGGTCTTTGTCCCTGCCCTGCATCTCCTTGGCCCCATACCTCTGGTTTCACAACGCGATGTGTCCCACATCAGTCCCAGTTTGCTCTGCTGGGGACAAGGGAGCAAGAAAACCCCAGCTCTGGCTGGTGGCTGCAGCTTCGGTGGAGCTTGGCCTCCTCTTCCCCAGCAGAATTTGGCCCGTTCAGAGGCAGAGGTGACAGCCACCCTGCTAAAATGTCACCTAATAAAGCGTTGCCCGCTTGGGGTGGTCCCTTCTGGAGGAGATTTGCTGTGCCCCATAGCCCCAAGCTCTCTCCTGCGATACCTTTCTGGGTAGTTATTATTTTGGGAGGTGGTTCAAAGCGCCTCCAGTAAGGTGAGGCTTTGCTGCAGTGTGATGTTATTCATGTGTGATGCTGAGGGTTTGTGCTGCCTGCTCCGAGGATGTGCAGGAAGCTCTGAGGGTGTAAAACATCCCGGGACGGTGCCGGAGGACCATCCAAGCCAGAGCGGAGCCAGGCCCAGGGCAGCGTTAACCAGACTGCTGTTTGGAAG